CGTCATAATTCATTAACATTTGCAAGTATCTAGGTTACTGTAGAATAACGTCTGCCATCACAGATTATTATAATAATTATAGTTCGAAATTCTAAGATGCCGCTTTATCACAACCTAGTTCGTAGGTCGTCTCCAAGCGGTTCACAAATTATTATCCGTGGTTAAAGGGCCTTTGCAATCAGCCAATATCTTTCTCAACTCCCCAGGGAGCATACAGTCGGTGCTGCCATTTTGGCGCTCACAGCTAGCATTCAACAATTCTAGCACTGCCCAACCACGTACTCACTTACAGCTAAGCAGACTGGAACGAGCGGAGCAGAGGATCTTGTTTAAAGATGCAACACATTGCCGTGACGTGACTCGAACCCGCAACCCTTTTTATGGCGTACCATCCTAAAGTGCAATAAAACCAACAAAGCCAGCTAAAAGAGTAAAAATAAACCTTTAAATTTCTATTAAAAGGGAAATTAAGTATATTTTTCGTTTAAGCAATCTATTTCGTGTAATGTGTTCTACTGTTCCCTTTATTGAATTCGGAGCAATGCAACATTCCAATTTCATTAAAAATATCTCAAAAATCCAATTACACGTACCTTTAGCGTTTCGTCGACATTTTTTTGCAAATACGTAATAAGTAAAATATTGACACAAACATAAGAATTCGTAGAGGAGATGGCGCAAACAAGAACTCGGAGAGGAGTTGGCGAAATCAATAATCAGTTTCAATCAAAATCTTGTTAGTATAATCTTGTAAGAGTTGATTCTATTAAGAAAACAATTCCCAAGTCTTACAGCTATACACTGATGGTGTTGATGTATTATATACAATCGATATCGCTCACATTACATGTATCATTGCGGACTAAATCTGCGTCAGGGCAAAACATCACGTGATCTGTTCTAGTGACGGTTTGGAGACAGAAAACGTTATCGGTAATATTGGTGTCTGGTCTTACCTCTCTTACCATTCGCCTTTTATTCGGCACTAGTCGTTAAATTCCGATGTTGGACTATTTAAACGCAGGAATAATTAAAAAAGAAAATTCTGCTTTGCATGTTTATATTTTTAGGTATAGATCGGTGGACTGATTTTCATTATTGGACTAACAATGGACTATATTGTGATATTTGACTCAGTTTTAAAATACATCATTCTCCCGATTCTGATTGACAAATTCGTCATAAAGTTCTTGTTTAACATAAAATATAAGGCAAGAAGTGTTAAATTCCTCTATGAAATGTGCATACCAAATACATCTCAAACTACTTAAGGAATGAAATTTAGTTTTCAACATTCATGAGGTTATAACAACATTGGCTTTCTGGACATATCCCAGAAAGCCAATGCTGTTATAACCTCATGAGTGTTGAAACAAATAATTGTATACCATATATTCCAATGCAAGCATAAATAAAACAAATACAGGTATTGTTTTCTATTTATACATAGGGACAACGCAGTAGAGAGAACAGCTTGTTTTCGCGGGAAAATGAAAAACTTCGGTTGGTGGTCCTAGCAACAACACGACAACAAAGTCAATCACGTGCTGTGTCAGTGTCCACTATACAGTGACCTACAGCTTAAACGTTTTGGGAAAGCAGTAGCTTTAAATTGAAAATCTCCGAAACATGAATGACTCTGCTGACAAAATGTGCTATATTTTATCAAACAATGATATACGTAAAAATGCTTCCAAAAGCTGTTTTAATATTTTAAGAAGGAGACATAAGTTTATATCTAACCTCTGAATCGTTATATATATATATATATATGTTTATGCATGTATTTTACTTATAGTTTTTATTGCATTGTACTGTAAATTAAGTGAGATGACTAATGTAAAATTGTTTTAAGTGTCTCATAAGTCAGTAATGACTGGGTGTTAATATGGTTTTACCTGAATGTGTGAAATGTATCCGTTTTATGTATGCATTAACATGTGACACTATAATAATAAAATGTATATCATGTTTATTACTAATTCATATTAGCATAACAAAACTACATCGAAGGCTGTTCCACCAAGTACGTCATGTGCTACGTCATTTTACCTGTGGTTACCTGTGGTATGCATTTCTCCTATGAGTCCAAGCATACAGAATGTAAATATTTTCGTTTAAATACTTGAGGAATATTACAATATATGGAACAGCATTATTATCAAATACAAATGTATTGGATGATGACATAGTAGAATATATATAATACCATTTAATTTACATTCATTGAAATGAATCATTTGTGAGATCAAATATGCTGACTCTAAAATATTGTCATTCAACAATATTGTTTTTTAGAATGAATCAAATACTTGGAGTTGATTTCATTGACACTCATGACAAGAATACTACAAGACAACAATTAAAATGTTTTGTAAAATTGCACTTTTTGTGTGCTTCACACTTTGTTTTAAAGGCTTGTTTTGAAAATGGCGCCTGGTGCTTAAAAGATATAACATTTTGCCAAGTTTCATATTTGCACATCAAAATCAACAAATCCTTAATATATCTGCACCCACCCGTAGTGCCACGACACACAGAGGACAAATAGTTGTCATGTGTCCAGTTTATTTATACATGTAAGCATTTGGAGGCAAGATAATCTAGTGGCAGAACACCGGGCTCGTGGCGGAAGGGTTGCGGGTTCGAGTCACGGCACTGTGTTGTATCTTTGAGAAAGATACTTTACTCCGCTTGTTCCAGTCTACTCAGCTGTAAAGGAGTACGGGGTTGGACAGTGCTAGAATATTGGAATGCTAGCTGTGAGTGCCGAAATGGCAGCACCGGCTGTATGCTCCCAAGGGAGTTGAGAAATATATTTGTTTGTTGCAAAGGCCCTATAACAACAGATAATAATTTGTGAACCGCTTTGAGACTACCTACGAACTATAGGTTGTGATAAAGCGGTATATAAGAACCTCGAATTATTATTCTTTCGATAATAGTTGTCCATTCAACCTAAAATATCGATCAGTGTATTGTGACCTAATATCTAATTATAAACACCCAACTATTCAGTCTTCTCAAACTGTAAACTTTCACCCACTTAAGTCTCTGATGTACAGTTAGAGGACAATGGGGTTTATTCAAACGAGAAATGACTCCGGCGGTATAACCATTGAAGGTAAAAAGAAGAGAGGGCTTGCTAGCCTTTTAAAGATCTGGAGGTGTAGGGATTGTATAGCATATTGTATTCTCGGGTATATAAGCGGCCCATCACAAGGATAAAAGAAGTGTTTGAGTATAAAGCGACCTAACTCACAAAGTTTGTTAAAATTGTGAGGTCATCGTAAGATATTTCCTGTCAGTGTTTACAGACACCTGTACAGGTGTAACGTTCTACGGTAGCCCGTAACGGGACCGCAGTGACGAGGTGGTTAAGGCGTCTGACATTCTGCTACCACTGGCCCTCCACCACTGGGTCGCGGGTTGGAGACCTACGTGGGGCGGTCGCCAGGTATTGGCCGTAGGTCGGTGGTTTTCGCCGGGAACTCCGAATTTTCTCCGCCACCTAAACCTGGCACGTCATTAAATGGTGTTTTTGCTTAAATTGTGGTTTTTCTCCGAGAACTCTTGTTTTCCTCCATCACCAAAACATGACACGTCCTTAAATGACCATAGCTGTTAATAGGACGTAGAACACAAACAAACGTATACCGGGATATTGTCGGCGTAGTATTACCCTTTAACCACTGTAGATCATAATGGACTCATTCAGATCAATTTATGGCAGAGGTCATTCAAGTTACATACGGGTGAAAGGGATAACAACCATCTTTTTCGTCATCCGAAACGATAGTGAATTTATCTTGACGGCAAATGAAAATACGCAAAATATCAAACATATTTTTTTAAATGTGAAGGTCGAAATTAAGGGTCGGCGAATATAGATTTTACCAGTGAAAGTTGAAGGTTGTTACTAGGTGAAAGTTTCACGGTAGACAGTATATGCCTATAACCCTTTGCTACATTATCGATCCGCTGATCAGGATAGTGCTATTTCTAATATTTATAAATGTGTATAGTAAATTGACAATTTAAATATTTTTCTTTAAAACTAGATAGTTTCACATCCTGGAAAGAACACACTAAAACGCAATGTGTTATATTATATATATGATTCGTTTATTTCGTAAGATTTTGAGTAACTCCGACAATTATCTAACTGTTAAGTTGAAACTATACTACTCTCAAACATAAATATAATGGGTAATTAGAAAAAAGTCAATCACATATAGCATAATACATTAATTTAACACAAAAATTAATTAACTAATAATAATTAGAATAGAGTACGGACAAGAATATCCGGAAGTTTATTTTTATATCAAAAATGTTGATGTATATTTATTTGTTAATATATATGTGTGACGAATACTGATACGTGATCGAATATTTTGAACAGTATGTACATTATTTAAAGGCGAGTCGAGACGCCAATGTACATTGTATGTATATATTTATGTGTATGTCATAACATTTTGGAAAATATAATAAAAAAATAAACTGTCATTTTTTTTTTAACACAAAATTGTTTTTTTCTTCTTTGTATATTCTTGCAAAATATCCCTCGGCTAACACCTTTCCCCACCCTATCTAAAACCACAACTCCACCCCTGTCGGAGAGATCTATAAAACCACATGCTATTGACTCCGACTTCGTCTCGGTCAATATCACTTGTTTAGGTCCATATAACCACATATTCATCTAACCAAAAGTCCATTATTGATACCCATCAGCACAATTGCAACAACATGTACAGATAAAGAGATCGAGGAATTGTATGACACCTACAGGTCTCCATAAAAGCACAAATATTAATTTTCCTGTGATTTCAATAAGCATTCAAATAACTTAAAGACCGATTTCAAAACACAGTAAAACACCAATCATTAATCTATACAGACTCTCTTTACCCTTACACAGTGGCCCTATTGAAACTCGTTAGATCGAGATACGTCATCGATATTGGCAAAAACACAAAACGTTCGATTTTGACATTCGCACATATTTGATTTTGGTTGTTGTAAGATAGGACGAAAGGATTGTAATACACAATGTCGATAGACGGAACCTTCCTTCTTTTAATCTGGACGAATTCGTTTATAGGTTTCTCAAATGGTAATGTTTACTTTTTATTGTTTTATATCATCGTTATGAACTGTTTTAAACTATGATATGTGTATGTGAATGTTATATGCTTTATTTTAAGGAGTTTTTTCACCGATCGACTATGTTTCTACTTTCCTACTAGTAAAACTAGAACTGTTAATCCTGACCTCTAAGTTAGCAACATTGTCACAATAGACGTTACATTATTTTGTGAAGTTAACAGGGCGACGCAACAGACGTTAGATTATATTCTAAGGTAAAAAGTGCGTCATAACATATGCTAGATTATTTTGTGAGGTAGAAAGAGTATCACAACAGACGTTAGATTATATTGTGAGGCAGATAGGGTAATACAACAGACGTTAGATTATTATGTGAAGTAGATAGAGTATCACAACATACTTTAGATTATTATGTGAGGTAGATAGAGTATCACAACAGACTTTAGATTATTATGTGATGTAGATAGAGTATCACAACAGACTTTAGATTATTATGTGATGTAGATAGAGTATCACAACAGACGTTAGATTATTATGTGATGTAGATAGAGTATCACAACAGACGTTAGATTATTATGTGATGTAGATAGAGTATCACAACAGACGTAAGATTATTTTGTGAAGTAGATAGAGTATCACAACAGACGTTAGATGATTTCCTGATGTAGATAGAGTATCACAACAGACGTAAGAATATTTTGTGAGGTAGATAGAGTATCACAACAGACGTTTTATTATTTTGTGATGTAGATGGAGTATCACAACAGACGTTTAATTATTTTGTTAGTTACATATGGCGACACAACAGACGTAAGCTTTTATTGTTAAGTAGGTAAAACGCCACACAGGACGCTAGTTTTACTGCGTAAATTATTTCTCGAAATTGGTTTTGTTCTTTCTAAAATTATGGTATTTCACAATGTTTCAAGCAAATCGAAATCTGAGACCTGTAGATGATAATCCATAACGTCTATTTTTCAAGCTGCCGTGCCCGTTTTCTCCAACCTTGATAATACCCATACCATAGCGGACACTTTCTCCGTCACAACGAGCATATACGCCCTGACGGCTACAGACGCGGACGGTGATGCCCTTACCTACTCGATGACCGTGTCGTCAGCTTACTTTGACCTCAGCGGACGTACGTATTGTGTCTATCTGTCTGGTTGTTGATTTTCAATAAATCATGAACACATACTAATAATACTGTCTGTCTATCTGTCTGGTTGTTGATCTTCAATGAATCATGTACACATACTATATATATACTGTCTGTCTATCTGTCTGTTTGTTGGTCTACGATAAATCACGTTCACAGACTATTTCTGTCCATCTGTCTGTTTGTTGGTCTTCAATGAATCATGTATACATACTATTAATACTGTCTGTCCATCTGTCTGTTTGTTGGTCTTTAATGAATCATGTACACATACTATATATATACTGTCTGTCTATCTGTCTGTTTGTTGGTCTACGATAAATCACGTTCACAGACTATTTCTGTCCATCTGTCTGTTTGTTGGTCTTTAATGAATCATGTACACATACTATAGATATATTGTCTGTTAATCTTTCTGTTTGTTGGTCTTTAATGGATCATGTATACATACTATTGATACAATTTGTCCATCTGTCTGTCTGTTGGTCTTTAGTGAATCATGTACACATACTATTAATACAGACTGTCCATCTGTCTGTTTGTTGGTCTTTAATGAATCATGTATACATACTATTAATACTGTCTGTTCATCTGTCTGTTTGTTGGTCTTTAATGAATAATGTAAACAAAGTTTTTGTATTAATACTGTCTGTCCATCTGTCTGTTTTTTGGTCTTTAATGAATCACGTATACCTCTTTTTTATATTAATACTGTCTGTCCATCTGTCTGTTTGTTGGTCTTTAATGAATCACGTTCACATACTATTAATACAGTCTGTCTATCTGTCTGTTTGTTGGTCTTTAATGAATCACGTTCACATACTATTAATACAGTCTGTCTATCTGTCTGTTTGTTGGTCTTTAATGAATCAGGTATACATACTATTAATACTGTCTGTTGATCTGTCTGTTTGTTGGTCTTTAATGAATCATGTACACATACTATATATATACTGTCTGTCTATCTGTCTGTTTGTTGGTCTTTAATGAATCAGGTATACATACTATTAATACTGTCTGTTGATCTGTCTGTTTGTTGGTCTTTAATGAATCATGTAAACAAAGTTTTTGTATTAATACTGTCCGTCCATCTGTCTGTTTGTTGGTCTTTAATGAATCACGAACACATACTATTAATACAATCTGACCATCTGTCTCTTTGTTGGTCTTTAATGAATCACGTCCACATACTTTTTGTATTACTACAGTCTGTCCATCTGTCTATTTGTTGGTCTTTAATGAATCACGTATACATACTATTAATACAATCTGACCATCTGTCTCTTTGTTGGTCTTTAATGAATCACGTCCACATACTTTTTGTATTACTACAGTCTGTCCATCTGTCTATTTGTTGGTCTTTAATGAATCACGTATACATACTATTAATACAATCTGACCATCTGTCTCTTTGTTGGTCTTTAATGAATCACGTCCACATACTTTTTGTATTAATACAGTCTGTCCATCTGTCTATTTGTTGGTCTTTAATGAATCACGTATACATACTATTAATACAGTCTGTCCATCTGTCTGTTTGTTGGCCTTTAATGAATCACGTACACATACTATTAATACTGTCTGTCTATCTGTCTGTTTGTTGGTCTTTAATGAATCACGTCCACATACTTTTTGTATTAATACAGTCTGTCCATCTGTCTATTTGTTGGTCTTTAATGAATCACGTACACATACTATAAATACAGTCTGTCCATCTGTCTGTTTGTTGGCCTTTAATGAATCACGTACACATACTATTAATACTGTCTGTCTATCTGTCTGTTTGTTGGTCTTTAATGAATCACGAACACATACTATTAATACAATCTGACCATCTGTCTCTTTGTTGGTCTTTAATGAATCACGTCCACATTCTTTTTGTATTAATACTGTCTGTCCATCTGTCTGTTTGTTGGTCTTTAAAGAATCACGTACACATACTATTAATACTGTCTGTCTATCTGTCTGTTTGTTGGTCTTTAATGAATCATGTACACATACTATATATATACAGTCCATCTATCTGTCTGTTTGTTGGTCTACGATAAATCACGTTCACAGCCTATTTCTGTCCATCTGTCTGATTGTTGGTCTTTAATGAATCATGTACACATACTATATATATACAGTCCATCTATCTGTCTGTTTGTTGGTCTACGATAAATCACGTTCACAGACTATTTCTGTCCATCTGTCTGTTTGTTGGTCTTTAATAATTCACGTACACATACTATTAATACAGTCTGTCCATCTGTGTGTTTGTTGGTCTTTAATGAATCACGTACACATGCTTTTTGTATTAATACTGTCTGTCTATCTGTCTGTTTGTTGGTCTTTAATGAATCACGTCCACATACTTTTTGTATTACTACAGTCTGTCCATCTGTCTATTTGTTGGTCTTTAATGAATCACGTACACATACTATAAATACAGTCTGTCCATCTGTCTGTTTGTTGGCCTTTAATGAATCACGTACACATACTATTAATACTGTCTGTCTATCTGTCTGTTTGTTGGTCTTTAATGAATCACGTACACATGCTTTTTGTATTAATACTGTCTGTCTATCTGTCTGTTTGTTGGTCTTTAATGAATCATGTAAACAAAGTTTTTGTATTAATACTGTCCGTCCATCTGTCTGTTTGTTGGTCTTTAATGAATCATGTAAACAAAGTTTTTGTATTAATACTGTCCGTCCATCTGTCTGTTTGTTGGTCTTTAATGAATTACGTACACATACTTTTTGAATTAATACAGTCTGTCTATCTGTCTGTTTGTTGGTCTTTAATGAATCAGGTATACATACTATTAATACTGTCTGTTGATCTGTCTGTTTGTTGGTCTTTAATGAATCATGTATACATACTATTAATACTGACTGTTCATCTGTCTGTTTGTTGGTCTTTAATGAATCATGTATACATACTATTAATACTGTCTGCTCATCTGTCTGTTTGTTGGTCTTTAATGAATCACGTCCACATACTTTTTGTATTAATACAGTCTGTCCATCTGTCTATTTGTTGGTCTTTAATGAATCACGTACACATACTATTAATACAATCTGACCATCTGTCTCTTTGTTGGTCTTTAATGAATCACGTCCACATACTTTTTGTATTAATACAGCCTGTCCATCTGTCTGTTTGTTGGTCTTTAATGAATCACGTATACCTCTTTTTTTTATATAAATACTGTCTGTCCATCTGTCTGTTTGTTGGTCTTTAATGAATCACGTATACCTCTTTTTTTTATATAAATACTGTCTGTCCATCTGTCTGTTTGTTGGTCTTTAATGAATCATGCATTTATACTTTTTTGTATTAATACTGTCTGTCCATCTTTCTGTTTGTTTTTGGTGTAACATCCTTATAACAGCTAAGAAATTGTAGTGAAATATTCAAGGTATATTTTTTTTGTGGCAGAAAAGCAAAGCAATATATCTACATAATTTGAATAAATTCTACTGAGAAAACAATTATCAGAAAAAAAAAGATGTTATTCAAATTCCTGGTTCATCGTTCTGGCTCGTGTTGAATAACCTCTCCAATCCTAATGAAACTCAATGTAAGTTATCTATATGTTACCCCCTGAATGAAGAACCTTTCAAAAGCTTGGCACATGCATTATTTGTGAGTCAAACACAACAGTTGGACACTCTAGTTGACTATGGGTAGAAATCCTAACTTAAGGATTCCTGTCCCACTGCAAAGTGGTTTTTCGTATATATACAGTTACCTCCCCTCAACTTCCGTTTAGATATAACGGTAGCACAACTAGAGCTTTGATAAATCAGTTCTGAAAAGAAACCATGCCTCGCGGTACTTTATGAGAAATAATAAAGACCAATTAAATTAAATATAATCAACTAGAGTGTTCTGAGTGTGACGATTCTGCAGGCCTAGACCCGGTTTCGAACCCTGGACTTCAGATTATTATACTATCCGATTGAGCTACCTGGTCGACGGAAGTGGCCTGACCTAACTGAGCTACAGTTGGTCTCGTTCAACCAGACGCTTTATCTGTGTTCGGCGTAGCTTGTGCAGACACCGTAATGAGTCTGGTTGAACGAGACTAAGCTACAGTTACAGCCAAGCGGAAGTTAGAGGGAGGTTACTCCATGTAGTCAAATACGCATTGCAGTGGAACAAGAATCATTAACGTATCGTTATTTGTATTTGTGTGTAAACAGACAATAAAGGAGGGATATTGAGTATTCCATATTAACAAGCGCCTCTACTGTTCAAACTTTAATTATTTTAATTTTAACAGAAGATGTAAGAGCCACCGGGGCTGTTCCGGCAGATGCTTATGCCTTGACGTTCCGGGTAATCGATACGTCAGGAGGGATAGCTACCGGGACTCTCACCGTCACGGTGACAAACTCCGTAAGTGATAGCAACGCATTTATTAAAACTTTATTATCAATCTGACTAATTTCATCTGATTGAGCATCGACTTATATATATGTATAAATATGTATTCGAGCTTATGATATTTAATAATAATGATATTTTGAAGTTCTTATATACCACTTTATCACAACCTAGTTTAAAGGTCCTCTCAAAGCGGTTCACAAATTATTTTCCCTGTTTATTGGGCCATTGAAACCAGACAATATATTTCTTAAATCCCTTGGAAGCACACAGCCGGTGCTACCATTTCGGTGCTCACAGCTACATTTAGCTCTACCGATCCATGTTGTCACGTTTTTCTCTTATGGTCATATATGGCATATGTCATGATATTTCAGTTAGGCATTAGATATGCGCTATCGCAAGGGGGCAAATCAGTCAACATAACCTGCCTTAAGTACACATAGAGACACGTCCTTAAATGAAACTAACTGTAAATAGGACGTTAAACAAAATAAAACCAAAACAAATCAATCTTTTTCTCATCCTTACGTTTAGTTATTACTTACATGTTATTTATAAAGAGGAGGGCTATAATTGTAGTTCCTGTACATATGTTATCATTTACACTCTTGCTATAAATAACTTTTTCTCCTGCCACTGCGTAGGAAAGAGTTTAAACTATACCATCAGATGACGGCATTTAATTTTGACGTTTCAAATAAAAAAGCGTCAAAATGTCAATTCAAGCCGCCTCATTTTGAAGCCTCTCCTCCTGCCTTGAATTACATGAGACGACCGTTAGAAACAAAACATTTTGGTGACGTAAGGCTGTTCCACGAATCTCGTTTGCACTGACGACACAGACACTTAGATATCGGAAAAATCAGGGAGTATCTCTATCTAGGTTAATAACAACTAAAGATTTAGGATGTAAATGTAGGATTTAAATGATATTTACCATGAAACCCGCCAGGGTTTTATGATAAATATGTACCTATATGCGATCATACAGGCGTGAACACCGAAACAATGGCGTTCAATCCTGACATATGCAAATGCTGTCTTATTATAAGGACCAGCTATATGCTAGCTACGCAACGAATATTTTTGCGAGTGTGATGGGGATTATCTGTATGATTTGAAAGAATAATATTGAAATCTAATTTCTATAAATCACGCTTTGGTGGCAGCAAATATATTACCGTTTTGTGTGGTGAGGTGGGGAGGGGATATTCATTTGTACAACAAATAATAATTTTTAATCATGGAAGTTCGTCCTCTAACCAGGCGCCGACGTTGACAAACACTGTGTGGACAGCGTCTGCAGCCGAGTCTGAAACAGATGAAACCCAGCTGTTTCTCATAGAATATACGGACGCTTCGGCCGCTGATTACGTCGACTGTGTTGTCCAGTCATCCACACCAATTTCCAGCGACTTTTTCGTCCGCTACGACTCTGTGAACAGTAGTAAGTACAAGATCACGAATTGCAGTGGCGGTTGTGCCCTCATAAATGACATTCCTCGTTGAAAGGATGTTGAAGGGCATTGCCACGCAAAATGCAAAACTAGTTTTCCTTTTGATTGGAATATAAATTATAATTTGACACCAGTTCTTTTCATAAAAAGCATGTGTTCAATATTTTTCTCAGTGAATTTTGTTTTTAAATGAATTAAAAAAATGGAAAATTGACATTGGCAAGGCAATCTTCAAAAATGTTTGTTTGCAGTTTTTTCCTACTCATATTTTTTTCAGTTGGTGGATAGAAAAGTCTTTTTTTCCAGAAATCCTATATTTCTACATACATGTATCAACACTTTTCAGTAGGTTTAAAAAGGTATATCAAATGTTCACAAAATGGTTTGAGTAGATGGTAATTTTACGAAGTCGGTGGGGAAACTGCAAATGTTTTTTTTTAAAGGATGACCTTATTGTTACAGTTATATTAAGGAAAACATCAAAATCCAAAACATTGCACGTCTCAGAAGCTCCTTAATATAGCTCCACATGACATTTATGCCTTATTTCAATCACCTTTCTGTGTTTAGAGTACGCGGTATACGCCCAGCAGAATCCAACCCTTACGGCAGCATCTTATTCATTGGTTATTGTCTGCACTGACCTCAGCTCAGCGTCCGACACCGGGACACTCATCGTTACCGTCGTGCAGAACGCGGCTCCAGTCTTTCAAAATCCTGGAGGTAGGTAAAACTTGATTACTCAGAACGAGGCTGAAGTAAATGTCCTGTCAACAAATGTCCCCGTAGGTCAAGGACCGTCCACTTTTCGCCTGCAGGCGGGGTTTCCGCCTCTTTAAATAAAAAAAACTTTCGGAACTTAATGAACCTTTAATGAGTGTTCGTTTTCCGATCGGTCATCCGACATGGCTGCTGCGTTTCTGATTGGTCGAAATTCAAATGTTGACGGATTTCGCTCAAATGACATGACGGTATATTATGCTGTTACGAACAGTATATAGTGACTTCATTTAGCATCATTAACGACTTTGGTTTGTTCGACTTCGTTAAAGAATGTTTTTCATTTCGGAAATGTTTTACCAAAAATATGGCTATTAAAAAATCACTTTCCAAAGCCTAGTTGCAGTTTTAGGGAATGATACAGGGATCCTCAAGTTTGAGGGGCCGCGGTGGTTAAGGCGTCTGACATTCTGCTACATATATACCACTATTCCTCCTACACTTCGTCGCGGGTTCGAGACCTACGTGGGGCAGTCGCTAGTTACTAGCAGTATGTCGGTAGTTTTTTTTCCGGGAACTACGGCTTTCCTCCACCACCAAAACCTGTCACGTTCTTAAATGACCATAGCTGTTAATAGGACGTAAAACACAAAAATACCAAAACGTACGTTTATGTCTTTCCAATTGTAGATAATCTTCAGGAGTCCAACTTAAATTTTTATTGTTTCAGGTACGGTAACCATCGCCAGCTCGTCCACGTCGATCGGGACCACAGTACACACCGTGACCGCTACAGACACCGATAGCCAACAGCTCTTCTATAACATGACCACCAATCCGGGTGGGGCGCCATTCCAAATACAACACTGTAAGACAAACTAGTTTTTATTCATGACCAAAGGTAGACAACTCGTATGATTGAAAAGTATATCACAGCCTATAAGATGCCTAACTCTTTTGATTCTTTTAGATTGCCAATGGCAAAGGTAAATTTTAAAGGACAATTTAGTTTTTGTGTATATATACATGTATTTAAACAAATAAAGCAAAAATACTATCAAAATATCAGATTTTACAGATTTGTGTCTAAGGACTGTTTTTGATCCTTTTGATTTCCACATTTTCTCTTCCTCAATTGGTGCTTGTTGCACTCCTTGCCTAAACCTTATTCAAATACTTGATAAAATAGATAAAATAGTCTTTTCTTGGGGAGGGGGCTCGATGTGATAGGAGTAAAAAAATTGATTATAAATGTGTTTTGTTTTAAAATAAGGTAAACAGTAGAAAAAAATATTGATCACGTTCGATTTGAAACGCGAAAACTATGCATAAACTATGAAATTGATCATTAAGCTTTGTCTCGTTACGATAGATATTGAATTTAAAATCACGGATAACGACAAGGCTGTGGGATCGATGGATTCATTTCAATGTGAAAGCAAACTTATAAACAATACTTTCGGATTTAAAATGGCCTAGTGGAACATATCCCCTGTCGCTGAAACAAAGATTTCTTTTCCATTTCTTTACACGCAGTTTTGTGCAGTTTGGAATTTTGTAAAATAGTCCCATGTGTTTACTCATCTAAAAATAAATGCGTTTTTTAATTATAAAATATAACCCATTGGAACCCCTCCATAATTCCGTATAAATCAAGCGCTTGCGCTATATGGTTTGAAAGTTATATGGTCTCGTTCAACCAGACGCTTGATCATTTGTAATTCTCTGTTCGGCGTAGCTTGCGCAGACAACAAGAATCTGGTTGAACGAGACTAAAAGTCATATAACAAAACACCACTGAATCAAGGGGCCCAAAAGGGGATTTATATGCACCGAAGCCATATCGGCTTGACGTACGGTGTATCAAGATGATTCCTGGTAAGACATCGCAATGGAACGTTTAGCGAAAGTATACACACAAAGATCATTCGGGTAAATTTTATCAATGTTATGCTTTGTCTTCAGCGGGCGATATACTCTTGACCCAGTCCATACTCGGCCTGACCATCGCCACTTACACCTTACACGTCTTCGTTTATGATGGTTACAATCTGGTGGGACCGGACACCGTCACTATTTCAGTCTCGGGTAGGTATATATCAGTCTCTCTTGTTGATAGAGATTTTCTAATGTAATTATACAAATGTCAGAACCTGATATTAATCGACGTCTGCTGTCTTCAAATAACAAGAAATTCATTAAAAAGGTCCACCACAATACATTTGAAATCAAACACTGTATAGGTACATCTATTACGATCTTCAGGGACGGCTAACTAATAAAATGTAGGACAATCGCGTCTATTTGATATTCCGATAATTAACTGTACGCTTCTTTAAAGTAACATCTCAGCTTCCCCTACATGTATCTATGGTGTTAACACTCGACAGATGATTCGGTACTCCAGAGTTTTTTCTGAATATCACGATACGTATGATTGACCTTGATTATAAAAGACTAAGACAGTATTCTCCTGTAGTATTAAATGTAGCCGTCATATTGTCATGAATGCCATCGCAAATATACGTTTTCCTATACAATGAAAGACATTGCAAACGTAAATGTGCATGTGATTTTAGCGTTAATGAGACCGCGAATATTGTAAAATACCATGAATCATTTCTCAATTATAGTTGTCAAAATACCCTGTATTACATTTCAAATATAACCGTCAAAATACCCTGTATTACATCTCAAATAAAGCCGTCAAAATACCCTGTTACATCTCAACTATAATTGTCAAAATACTCTGTATTACATCTCAAATGAAACCGTCAAAACACCCTGTATTACATCTCAAATATGATTGTCAAAATACCCTGTACTACATCTCAAATATGATTGTCAAAATACCCTGTTACATATCAACTATAATTGTCAAAATACCCTGTAACATCCCAACTATAATTGTCAAAATACCCTGTAACATCTCAACTATAATTATCAAAATACCCTGTATAACATCTCAACTATTATTGTCAAAATACCCTGTAACATCTCAACTATAATTATCAAAATACCCTGTATAACATCTCAACTATTATTGTCAAAATACCCTGTAACATCTCAACTATAATTATCAAAATATCCTGTATAACATCTCAACTATAATTGTCAAAATACCCTGTAACATCTCAACTATAATTATCAAAATACCCTGTATAACATCTCAACTATTATTGTCAAAATACCCTGTAACATCTCAACTATAATTATCAAAATATCCTGTATAACATCTCAACTATAATTGTCAAAATACCCTGTAACATCTCAACTATAATTATCAAAATACCCTGTATTACATCTCAACTATTATTGTCAAAATACCCTGTTACATCTCAACTATAATTGTCAAAATACCCTGTAACATCTCAACTATAATTGTCAAAATATCCTGTAACATCTCAACTATAATTGTCAAAATACCCTGTATAACATCTCAAATATAACCGTCAAAATACCCTGTATTACATCTCAAATAAAGCCGTCAAAATACCCTGTTACATCTCAACTATAATTGTCAAAATACTCTGTATTACATCTCAAATGAAACCGTCAAAACACCCTGTATTACATCTCAAATATGATTGTCAAAATACCCTGTACTACATCTAAAATATTATTGTCAAAATACCCTGTAACATCTCAACTATAATTGTCAAAATACCCTGTATAACATCTCAACTATAATTGTCAAAATACCCTGTATTACATCTCAACTATAATTGTCAAAATACCTTGTAACATCTCAACTATAATTGTCAAAATACCCTGTATAACATCTCAACTATAATTGTCCTAATACCCTGTATAACATCTCAACTATAATGGTCAAAATACCCTGTAATATCTCAACTATAATTGTCAAAATACCCTGTATTACATCTCAACTATAATTATCAAAATACCCTGTAACATCTCAACTATAATTGTCAAAATACCCTGTAACATCTCAACTATAATTATCAAAATACCATGTATTACATCTCAACTATTATTGTCAAAATACCCTGTTACATCTCAACTATAATTGTCAAAATACCCTGTTACATCTCAACTATAATTGTCAAAGTACCATGCATGGCGTTATGTTATTTAATATGATAATGACACCGTGTCTATATTGGTCAAGGTAGGGTGGATTACATCATTCATAAAGCCACCACAATCTATGAAGTAATTAAACATGATAAACAAAAAATAATAATGTAAAACAAACACAAACACAAGTGACTGCACTTTGAAACGTGATAATAGATAGAGTATGAAAAAAACTTACGTTGCATTATATAACGTCGATATTTTTGATACTTACATAATTAATATAATAACATTATGTAGAAACTCTTAAAATGGTTTATTTTACGCTATTTCACTCCTTTCCCCAGGCATCAACAACGCCCCCACAATCGACAACTTGCCAGGTACAGCGAGCGTTGCCGAGAACACGGCGGCGGCGACGTCAATTTTCCAGGTCTCCACCACGGAACCGGACGCTGGACAAACGTTAACTTACACCGCGTTCAGCACCCCCGGATCAGTAATGTCTTACCTCAGCTTGAATAGCGCCAGTCAGTATCTTCTTCGTATTTCTCTCTATTTTACTGAACTTCGTATTTGATGCGGCGTTCTCTTTATAGCTACATGTATCACATTATGTTGTTTATTATGACAACTCCAGTTGTTAATTGTATGACAACTCCAGTTGTTAATTGTATGACAACTTCAGTTGTTAATTGTATGACAACTTCAGTTGTTTATGCGTATGACAACTTAGGTTGTGTATGTGAATGGCATCTTAGGTTGTGTATATTATTTATATGACAACTGTGGTTGTTTATTTGTTTGACAACCGATGTTATGTATGTGTATGATAACTTAAGTTGTTTATTTGTATAACACCTAAGGTCGTTTATTTATATGACAACTGTGGTTGTTTATTTGGATGACAACTGTGGTTGTTTATGTATAAGACAACTTAGATTGTTAATGTGTATGAAAACTATGTTTCTTTATGTGTCTGACATTTTGAGTTGCTTGTGTGTGTTTTGTAATACAGCAATTACTGCAGTTGTGGTTCAGTGTCCTAACAAATACATTGCAACACGAGGACAGTTTGTAGGCGAAAACATAGTGCTTTACTCTTGGCCAACAATCCAACTTTTCAAAGAGTTTTAGTAAGGACTCACGGATAAACTTTAGATATGACAGATAAGGTGTTTTGATCTTTTCCGGAACAATGCATCCCAGTCGAACAAAAAGAAATTCCAGCCAAATGATGGCATTTTACTTAAAATTGATCGAAACCCATAAAACGTGTAAAATTTCTTGGAACCCCCCGATTTATGGCAAAATATAGATGTAATCAATTCTCAGGTCCCTGTGACATTTGAACACATGCGTAGTATAGACTATTCAGTGTCTCTAACGATGAACGTTAGTCACATATATGTGTTTGCATCAATACAACTTTGATAATAGATACAGCATGCCAAGCATGAATTACCCTCTACCAGTCAGCTAACCGTCCTTTTAGAGCTCGGCGGTGACACTAGGGACCAAAAGAAGAAGATCCAAAGGTATAGGGTCAACGCCTATGGAGATGTAACATTAGCCTGTGCCATTTATATGGCATTTTGTTAGGATACCCCCGTCACTCAACCTGGTGTTATGCAAGAAGGTCCACTACGGTTATCAGTTGTAATTATGAATGTACATATGGGAATTGAATAAAAGAAATCAAAGTGGGGGCCAAATGTTGACCCTTTAATTAATCAACTTTCGAAACAGAAGATATAAACAGCAATGACACGATGAAAAAGAAGCACGATATCCCGCTGGTGAACAAAGATTCAGAGCAAGGATTAGTCACTCTAACAGGAACAATTAGTACCGAGTCGATAATCGCCTATGTGATTTTCTCAATTTCAATGCCATATCCTTACTAACCAAACTGCACGAACTCAAAAAATTGATCCAACAGTTCAAGAACAGCCGTAATTTCAATAACAGAAAACATGATCGGACAATTAAATTGTCAACGCTTAGACGGATTTAGAGAGTATGACACTGTTGCCAGGAGAAACAGGAATCGGCCCGGAGGTGAACTCGTTTGGCGCCTCTACCTAGAACTCCTTATTTCCCGTAAAAATAGTAAAAATATCATTGCAGTATACTATAAGTTATCTCTAGGTTAGGAATGGTCTACGGGCTCAAAGACCCCGTCTGGTTTTTATAGACCCCGAGCCGAAGGCAAGTGGTCTGTGAAAACCAAAGGGGTCTATGAGCCCGTAGACCCCTCCTAACCCAGAGATAACGACTTTGTCACCCTAGCAATCTTTTATTACTTTTTTTCCTGCAAAGTTATAAGTCACTTTGTGAATTTGAGTTGTCCTTGACTGCTACCAAAATAGCCCCTACCGGCAATATTTCGGACAATACACTATCATCTTTGTAATAATCACACTAGAGACCCCCTCATTGCCTGTTTCGTTGAATTTGCTGTCAATTAAGTAGGCTATTTCATCCTGACAAGAATTTGCACACCTCGAACGCTTGTGTGTGTGTCGGACACCATCTTTGTTGGTATGAAGAGAGTTTCTAGTTTGAGTTATCTCCCCTCGCACGTGCTTTTATAAACCCCGGCAGAGCGGGGTCTATAGAAATATAGACCCCGGCAAGATATCCAATCAGAAAGAGTGTTTACAAATTAGAAGGGTGACAAATATTGATATGAAGTTCCACGTGCATTTAAGATGATAGGTACGCCATACATGCACAAAACTCTTAAATTATTTTGTCTAATTAAGTCTGTTTTATTTATAGCTGGCCTCCTGTCAACGTCATCAACCAATATAAATTTTGAGACGGTGGGGGTGACGACTGTGACTGTGTCTGTTATCGTGAGCGACGGGACGGCGACAGTAACGTCCGACCTCGCTCTGACCATTACCGACGTCAACGAGGCGCCGTCGTTTCAGAAGAGTCAGTACACTTCGAGCGGCAGCGAAGGACTGGTACGTCATAGCACCACTACGTCATAGAAAATATGCCCTTATGGACTTAAGGATACTTGCCCCACTGCACTCTGGTTTTCCCTATAAACAGTGAGCTCCCGTCTACTTCCGTTTGTATGTAATTTCCACTGGCCATATAGCTCAGTCGGTTAGAGCGAAAGTACATAGCAATTTGTGGTCCAGAGTTCGAACCCCAGTCTAGCCGAGCAGAATTTTACACTCGGAACACTTTTGTTATTATTATTTATGAAAGTCCCGCTTTGCATAGTTTCTTTTTAGAAATTATTTATCCAAGTTATACTCATGCCGGAAAACTGTTTCCCATGCGTAGTTACAGTTTTGTTGGCAGTTGCACCGGAGATCCTTAAGGATCCCTGTCCCACTAAACTCTGGCTTTTGGTATAGAAAGTAACTTCCCTTTATTTTCGTTTTGGAGTTCCTTTGACCAGGGAGCTAAGTCATAATAATCTTAAGTCAATGGTTCGAGTCCTGGTCTAGCCATAATCCCTTTTTACACTCAGTTTCGTTAGGTATGGTTTTCTTTTCAGAAATATTTTATCAAATTTGTAATCATGCCGGGAAAGTCAGTTTCCACCGCATACATTGTACAAGTGTAGTTCCAGTTTATATCAGTGGTACGGGGATCGTTAGGATCCATGTCGTGGTTTCAGTTAGACGGCACTACCCGGCCACTCCCCCCTCCTGAAATCATCTCGATATTTGCCTATTTTTTTAAACTATCTTTTGAATTCGGCACGGGTTTCCTTTTTTTGATAATTACTTGTTTTAAACATGAGAATTCCAAGATGGATCGTGACATCCTCTATCGTAATATCGGCATTTGTCCTCTGTAAGTTTGATAATGATCCTCTTTTTGGGTCATCTGTTGGATTTAGTCATGTGAACAGTAAATCCATCTGGTGGTAACTTTTGATCCAAACTTCATGCCGCCGTGTTTGACAGTTCTCTTTCCTGTCGTTTTGCTAATGTGTTAAAAAGACCAAAACAGATTTCTGATTGAAGGCTATCCTATATCTCTTCTTCTTCTGTTAAAGCAATTTGAAGCTCGAATTTAAAACTGACAAAATTGAAGACCATGAATAACCTACTCATGAAATCTGAAAAAGATCTGTTATTTGCTTGCTGGGAAACAACGAAAATAAACTTTAACTGTAAAATTCAAGATGTCTGCTTGGTGGCCATCTGTTTTTAAATGAAGCTAAAACTAAGACATTTGTAACTAAGAACAAAGACCTAGAAATTCCAATGGATTTGTCCTGTACTTTCTTAGAAATAATGATAGCAACCTGATCAGCCTCAACATTAGATATGCACAAAAATGACCAGGAGTAATATTTATACGGAAATAAGTAAAGATCTGTAAAGTACTTTCTTAGAAAGAAATAACTAACTTGTATTTTCACAATTAAAGATGGCTGCCTGGAGTTTATCTTGTTTTTCACAACCAAAGATGGCTGCCGGATCAGCTTCAAAATACAAAAATTACAACTTAAAACCAAGAGAGCCTACGTATTTAACTTCTGTCCTTTAATTTTTGAAAAATAGCGATAAAACAAACCGTTTAAGGACGGACGACAGACCATGCACACAGAGCGAAGAAATGTCCAACTTTGGATATTGATCAATAAAATTTCTGTTTGTGTTTTTCAGGCTGGTTCGAGCTTTAGTAATCCCAACTTTGTGATAAATGACGAGGATACGTCAGATTCTCTCACAACGAGTATTGATTGCGCATCCACATTTACAATGAATCCTACCTCTGGCGCCTTGACCCTCACTGCGCCCTATGACGTCGATACCGGAAGTGGAACAACAGTCACGTGCACAGTCACAGTGACGGATTCACTGCTAACCGATACATCAACGTTAACAGTTACTATCAATAATATAAATGACAATACACCAACGTTTAATCCGTCAGTGTACACCTGGTATACAGACAGCACCAGCACAATTGGTACTTCAGTCGGTACTGTCACAGCTACAGATGGTGACATTGGAGATTTCGGTATGCATTTGTCTTCTTATCAATAACAGTATTTAAAGGTCAGGGACATGAAAGTTTGAAAAGCATTTTTTTCCAAACTTTAACATTATTTTATTCGTTCACTGTGGTCCCCTTCGTTTCAATAAATATTTTAAACAAATGACGGAACAACCATTTTTTTGCGGGAACGGGATGGTGTTTTCTATGGTTACCAGTTTCTTCAGGTGGTGAACGTCCATCACAAACCATTTGGGAATTTCCGTCATGATTTGCACTTGACGTCACGTGATTATTGGTCCCCGATTACTCTTAATATTTGACAAAAACAGAAAACAGCTTCCGATTCTGGAACATTTACGTGTAATGGTTCTCGCTCTTAATGGATTATAAGAACACTTTTGGTTGATAGGTTTAAATATATGAATCACCGCGAAATGAAGCTATATGGCGTTAAGTGGTCTAAGAAATCATTATACAATTATGATCTTATGTGGTACAATGTTATATACAACGGACATAAGCTTTTCTGTTATTGTAGTCCCTGCATGTAGGGTGTAAGAATTGTACCTGTTGCCCCCATTGCATGATCGTATGAGGCGACTAAATCTGGGATATTATATGTTCTCTTCTTTCTAAACAACTCTCTTCCTCCTAATGATTCCCTTGACAATGCCTCACGTTTGACCTTTAGTTGAGCGTTCGCCCCTCGGAGGAAGGCGTTGGGTTCTGCCCCCTGGCCGAGACATACCAAAGTCTGTAAAAATTATAGCTTCTACTCCTGCTGAACGCTCAGCAACTTAGGAAATGGTCGACTGGTTCGCCCGTTGTCAGTATAATGTGACCGGGTTGGGTGTCCTGCTGGGTGTCTTCGGCAGTATGTTTCAGTGAGGTAGCACTATAAAGTCGGCATCAGTTCGGCGCTATCACAAGGAGACAAACACGAACATATCGCATCCTCCCAAAACACACACGCATACAATACACGCATGCATCTTTCACACAGGGGAGGCCATCACTAAATGAAAATAGCTGTTAATAGGACGTTAGACAATACTAAACCAAACCAAACCATTCTGTTATTGTAATTTTTGTTGAGTTAGGAACCTTATCCCACTGATCTGTGTTTTTTTGTGTATACATAGTTAACTCCCCTCTATTTCGTTTTTGATTATACTGTAGTAAACAGCTGAGCCTTAATACTTTCGTTGACCAGGTAGCTCACTCGGTTAGAGCGGTAGTACTTGTATAACAATCTGAAATCAAGGGTTCGAATTCGGTTACACTCAGGACACTGCTGTTGATGATATTGTGTTAATTTCCTTTTTGATAATATTTCAAAAAAACCCCGCAAGGTATGTTTTTCTTTCCAGAATGATTTACCAAAGCTAGAGTCTAGCAGGTTTCCAATGGGTAGTTACAGTTTTCGGTAGTGGTAAGGGGATCCTTAAATGTTAAATTGAAGATCAATAATAATTAATATTCTATTTTTATTCAGGGACCATTTCTTACTCGCTGGATAACTCGGCTGACGCTGCCTATTTAGGGGTTACTAACCAGGGCGTAGTGTACGTCAAAAGCAGTATTGAATCTCTTGGCACTGGTGGAAGTACATTGGCGTTCATTGTCACGGCAACCGACACTGGCAGTCTAGCTGGGAACGCGGCTGTGCAGATCATCATCCCCGCTACTACTACCACATCCACAACAACCACGACAGATCGCCACATGTCATTTGACGAAAGCGCAAGTAATGTGGCATGGCTTACAACGTTTTGTGGAGTGGGCTTGCTACTGGCCGGTTTACTGGTGTTTATGGCATACAAAAATGGTTTCTTCACCTGGATTGTAGATGCCTTAGACAGAATGTGCGAGCTCTGCAGACGGAAGTAATTTTCTTTTTTCATGTTATTTTTTTCTCTGCCTCTATACTCTCAGACGGTCAGATGCCTTAACAACTCCGCAACCGCACCCACTAGATAAAAATGAAACCATAACGTTTGTTCCAAGATATGTCTCTCTCTCTCTCTCTCTCTCTCTCTCTCTCTCTCTCTCTCTCTCTCTCTCTCTCTCTCTCTCTCTCTCTCTCTCTTACTCAAAACACAAAACAATGACTTATTTTTTGTATGGGCATTATTTAAGCATTGAACTGCTTTCGGTTGGCATTCATAGGCAATATGAATATCAACTGGAAAAAGGCAAATTCAATAAAGTGCGGTAGCGCTTCATTTTTGATTTGCCTTTGTCCAGTTGGAATTCAGTTTTCCTATGAATGCCAACTGAAAGCAGTTCAATACTTGTATTTACCATTTTTGGAATCTGTTCATCTCCTAGAAAACTCAATTACATTTACTATTATTCAACATTTAGTAACAACCATCGCCCAGGGAGGGTCAGTGGTATCCAACGTAACAATTATGACGTCAACAATCAGTCCATGGTAGTTCATGAGCTGGACAACTCGCAACTAACTGTGGTTGGGTTATATAGTGACAATGCCATACGATGACAAATATATTGATATAAAATATATTACATTAAACATAAAATGTTTCTGTTACACATTGTTAAAACACTCGAATGGGTCATTTATGAAAACAACTTCAAATTGCCACCTCCGGTTCGCGAATTGCTATATGCTATACAGTTTATTGAAACGGTTTATTGGGGGTTTATATAATAAAACAACTTCCAATTACCACAATTACCACGTCCGATTCGAGCAAAACTTCCTTTTATATCCTGTTCAAACGGTATGAGGGGTTATTTATTAAAACAGCGTCCAATGACCACTTCCGGTTCGCGCGAGAAGGTCATTGCAAAGGCGTCTTTTACTAATGACCGTTGACCAAATAGAGGCCTCCAGGTCGATAAATGATATCACTCCTCGCACAAAAATGATTACAAAATCAGTTTATTGTAAAATAATACAAACTGCTAGCATCGTATGTGTATATATGGTTTACAACCTTTTCTGCGTTTTCTAAATTAAGGTGAACTGTATCATAATATTTTGTGTACAAATCTAGAATATTAGTAACGTTTTTGTTTGTTTTTTTGTTTTGATATGAGACTTTAGAAAATGTAGAGCTTGAAGTAGAAATTTCACCTTCATTCGGATACATGACTGTCACCTTGCATGGAGCAACTTTATCATCGTCTTTAAGAGAAAGCTCTAACCTTTTATCATAAGTTCCTTCCTACTGTCGTAGTATCTAGCTGCGAAGTCATCCTCCAGAGTCCAGGGGTTATGTTCTCTTTCGATCCCTGTACCTGGAATATGTTATAAAGAAATCGAAGGCTCTGTAGGCGCCATCTTGTATGATGCTAAAATAGACAAGTCAGATTTTTTGATGTACGTCAGATTTTTTGATTTACATCAAAAGATTGACTGATTTTGAAATCGGGTGTTGCTGCGCTGAAGTCTTCAAAGGCTTGGTACATATATCAGTCTAGCTATTAGTAAGTTTTATTCCCCTGAAACCAATAAAAATAGCTAACTGCTTCCCTTAGATGTTGTCATGACATATCCAGAGGCGCAGAGAACGAAAGTGAGCGTAACATCGAGGATGGTTGTGAGTCTGATTGGAGGGAAATATAATCTGATACCTGTTCTTTGCTGGTTTACATTGTAATCCTCTTGTGTGTGGCGTCTTGTAGGAAGAGCTGGGACCTCCCCGAAGAGGAAGAGTATGAGGAGGAGAGTGAAGAGGAAGAGGAGGAATATGGTAAGCACAGCAACAGCGTATGTGTTGTAAAAATGTAGCCTCTTAAAATTTATTTGCATTTATCAGTTAATGTAAAATGTAACTACAAGAACAACGAAGTATAGCACTGTATATATCCTTCCGTCCATCTCTGCATCCTTTCTGATGCAGCTATTCCTCCTTTTTTTTTTTTTTTTTTTTTTTTATCTTTCCATACAAACAAACATCTTGCGGATCTTTCTTGCATTTTTCTGTCTGTTCATCCTTCCGTCAAGTCTTGTATTCTTTCGTCGATCCATACATCATTTCAATCTTTCATCGATCATTGTAACCTTAAATCCATCCTTCCAAACTTTGTCCTTCTCAGAATCTCTTTTCTAATCTTTCATTCATTCCATATATCTTTCCATGTCTCCAGACATTCTTCCTCGTATAGATCCTTCTCTTCGCCCGTCTTTACATTAGTTCGTCTATCTATACATCCTCCCGCATTTACTCTCCAACAAAGCATACATATTAAACGCATACATTCCAGTAAATGCTTTTTTTCCCCCTTCTATTTAATGGCTCAAATGCATACACTGCTTTTAATAGCACAAATATAAACCTCTACATTCCATGTGAAATGGCCCCAAATTGTGCTTGTCCAATTTGTGAGCTACAAGACATTCAGTAGACCTACAGTTAGTCTCATTTTATCAACTCCTTAAAAAATAAGCTCTGTATTATAAATCAAAGAAATGGATTCCGAATTTTGGGCGCCATTTTACAATATTATTATGTGGCAGAATTTTACCTGCCATTGTCGATAATCTACGGGATAACAATTCGATCTTTGCGTATTGCAGAGTTATCTTCTCTTGGGAGCACGTATTGATTGTTACGTCATTGGTTTGTGTGAGAAAATTGCTTCGTTTTCTCAAAAATTGATGACGTTACTCTAACAAACAAGTGACGTAACAATCAATACCTGCTCCCAAGAGAAGATAACTCTGCAATACGTAAAGACGGAATTAGAAGTATTTTGCAGAAAATATAAAATGCATAAGAGGAAATACCACCCATGTATCGATGTATATTTATCTGATGTTGCAGATAGTCCTCGTTTGTTGCGCGCGGACGTATACATCGATTGTGCGTTGTACGCACATATGATGTATTCGTCCGCACAAAACCCTGTGGTTTGTAACAGTGATGTTGGGTAAAGATGTGCATGTGAGAAACCATTACTACCTTGCTATACATAGAATACATTCATAGAACATTTTAACCAATTATATTGATGTACCTCATGTAATAAAAGTGTGTATGACGTCAGAACGAATATTCATTCATCATATTATGACATTTTTGTTTTATGCAAACTTCCAAGATAATTCAATAAAAATCATTTTGAATTCGTTTTGCATTCATAAGAGATAAATGAAAGGCAAAAAAAATTATGAATAGTAATTGTAGATCTTACACTATGACTCCACGTTCCCGTTTGTTCTTGATAAAGTCATTTTATTTCTAATTCAGCCTACACTCCACCACCACGTCAACAGCAAGTGGCAACTATAGGGGAATACGGCTGGAATCCATGGAAACAGGACAAGTAAGTTCCCCATTTCGTTACATATCTTTAACTCTAACGCATTTACCCTTTATTGTTGGTAGGTCACCTGAGCCAAATGCACCTATACATGACCAATTGATCATCTGCCTTCGTCCATCATCGTGTGAAATTGGCTTTCCACTCTGCGTTCTTTATATTATTTCATTTTGAATCAAAGCTTGCTGGAACCTTGGTTGAATAAATTACCTTGATTCATGTTAATGTTCATCAATGCCAATAGTGCTAATATCTTCGGAAGATTCAAAATATCTGGAGAAAGTATTCTGCAAAAGTGTTTGTTTATTTTAACGGAAATAAATCCTAGTGTTTTATGAAATTTATACAGTTTATCGCATTAATTAACTGACACACTAGCGATATGTGTTATAGAAAAAATATATACTGAAACTTCATTTTGCGTCATTATAATTTAGCGGAATATTTAAAGCGCGAAAATTAGAATACCGCTAAAATATGTACTTAAAAAGTATATGGCATGTAACTTTCTAGTGTTGAGAGCTTTCAAAGTTTGTCCTGATACTTAACCTTGACCCACTTTTTAAGAGTGTAGAAGTCAAATGCGTTAAGACAGTGCAAACATATCCTGAAGTTTATTGTACTTATCATAGATAATATCATTATCATCATGTTCTTTCCCAAAAATGTTTCACGTACGGAGTCGTTTGCAATGCCAGAACATTATTTTGCTTTTGAGAATATTAGTTTAAACTTTATTTTATTGTCGGTATAACATTCCAGTAATACAAACATGATATACATATAGGATTCGAAAACAAGTACAAAGTAAGTACTTATATTAATCCGTCTCCATTTTTATAAAACGGCGATTGGACGGCACTGACCAATATTACACACATATATATATAAGTATGTGGAAGAGAAGAGGATGGGGGAGGAAGGAGGAAAAGAAGTGTAAAAGGGTTTTAAAGAAAATATTATTGAGGGTAAAATATATAGCGGAGTAAGTCTACTGCATTGTGGGAGGAATAACTGGTTGGAGTGTATTTTTGATATGGACACATGTCGAGGTCTTTACTTGTCACTGAGGTCTATCAACACATAACAAGTTAATTGTATATGATGAAAACTGTCCATGCCGACCCCTGAGTATTCCGACATCCAGTAATGAGAATATTATAATATATGGCACTTCTTTCTCTTTTCAGCGAAAATTTCCTTTTATAATTTTGTTTTCTTTGTTTTCAGTGCCTATTAGTACGAAGACGATCACCTAAAAGAGTTGTTAAATGGACGTGCTTTCTATTTGTTATGCATTGCTACAACAAACCTACGCTAAACATTCTTAATGAACGATGTGACGGGAAGGAAACGAAATATTTCCTTCGACATTTTGTGTGTTGTTTTTCTCAGAAGGTACTCTTATGTTTTGTTTTTTTATCTTCTCAATTTCATCCATATGAGAACCGTTATAGAGATTTTATTGAAGGTCATTTTTTTTATTATTTTTTTTCATTCCTTATTTCTTATACATATCATTTTTCGTGTTTGCTCATGTTCAATGTTAAAATAATCTAAAGAACATTTCTTCTCTTCAGCAATGTTTTCTCGTGGTAAAGTTTAAATTGAGGAAATATTCAAGAAACTGAATGCAGGTCGGGTTATATTTAAATACATCTTTTATCAACTGCTCACCATTCTTTCATATAATACAATTTAGCAACAACGTTTTACCTCCGTCCGAACAAATGAAATGTATTTAACTTGGATCACAGAGGTTTAAAACCGCAACCGTTCAGCGTTTTGTTTATCTACTTGGTTTAGATAAATGAGTATGACGTCATCAATCTATGGTTGCAACATCACGCATAAATGACTCATAGAACATTTCCCTACCTTGATGGTGTGACAGAGAAATATCCAATAGAAAGCTGTTGTTTTTTGATTGTCTAATCCGAGGCTCTGCCGATGGTTAGACAACAACAAAAAATCACCCCGAGGTTTGGAGATTTCTCTGTTACACCCTCAAGGTAGGGGATGATTATTATTTTCTCATCCTATTGTTTCAGTCACAGCGCCACCGACAGTAGTATGCCATGTTTGTAAACAAAAATACATGTGGGGTATGCATATCGTCATTCCCTTTTGATGACGTCACAATTACCGATGACGCATTTAATGACGTCACAATTGAACACGTGTTAATCGGCACGAGGCTATCTGTTTGTGATTGTTAGAAATGTGTGACATAATAGTCGTTGACTTGATATTNATTACTTATTTATATGTGAAAGTGTTTTAGTTAAATGTCTAAGAGAGAAATATATACCAAAATATTATTTCACTTATCCAAGTCAATTAAAAATGCAAGGATTGTTTAATATATTTAATGTAAAAATTTACACAAAACTTTGTAAATTCATAGAAAAGCTTGAAAAAATATTAACTTAATTTCTGTACTATTTGTGTACTTCTATATGTATCTATGCTATGTACAATGTTGTAATTGTGTACATCACACGCCATGTATCATACTTACTATATGTATGTGACCTCTTGTTACACACGTAAGTGTGTCGGAGTGAATAAATAAAAACTTAAAACAACTTTATACAACAATATTATATTGGCCATTATGTAAAAGTCCCACGTAGTTTACTCCATGTGTTGTGATAGGCTAATTCTATATCAAGTTGTCTACGACAAGATCTGTAACATTTGTTTGCATTATCGTTATAAATGATGAATTCATCGGCAACAATAAAATGTTTCATTGTTAATACACGTGTATCTTATCTATCATCAACCTTTACCTTATTTAAAGACTCCAATATCGTGCAACTGCGAACTTTTTCAAAACAAAAAATATAAGGTATCAACAAAGTCGAAGTTCGATCTCTTATAATCAATAAAACCATGACAAGGTACAAACACATGAATTATTTATATGGATATCCTTGAAAAAGTACAAGGAAATTAAGACCAGGTGTTCCGGAGGTATAAGCGTCTTTGTAGTGGTTCTGAATAAAAGTATGTGTACCAAGAAGGATATCAGATACCAATATGCTTTAAGGAATACTTGTTGAGTTAAGTGCCTATTTAAAAAAAGCAAGTTTGAGTTTGAATTTAATAAACAAATGTCAAAAAATAGATGACGTTGCTTCTTTCTCGGTTGTATAAAGAATTTGTACTTTCCTACTCCTATATTTACCTCTTAACAAGATGTATGGACGCAGACATTCGTTTTCATGATTTAGAAAATAAATCCAAAACCAAAGCCACATGGTGCACATATGTGGCATACATTTCTCTATCATGTTCCATTTGGGACACGTGTATCTTGCCTACGCATGTGTGGGGAAAAACTGTTCTTAACAAAAGGATCACAGATATATGAAAGATATAAAGCAAGTCGGGTTATACGAGACTATACTCTAGTAGACAGAACTCATATTTAACTGGAATTCATCGGTCGTTATCAACTGATATAATTAATCGGAACGAAACAGAAATTGGATCCGAACGTTTTAGCCCTATTTTACATTATGGTAATGTTAAATGGTTATTCTGTTCTCAGTAAATATTTGTAGCTTTTTTACTTTTCAGGTTTTCAGGATGCAGATTTAACATTATTAAGTTTATGGCGGACAATCTTTCGCAGAATATATTAATATGCATTTAAAGAACAAATGAAGATCTAACAATGTGCACATGTGTATACTCATTACATTATATATTCCGTACATTATATACTCAGTATAGTATATACTCATAACGTTATATATTATATATTGCATATACTCAGTACAATATATACTCAGCACATTATATACTCAATACAATTATATACTAAGTAAATTTATACTTAGTACTTTATATATTGAGTACAGTTAATTTTATACTCAGTCAATTGAATACTTAGTAAATTAAATATTCAGTATATTATAAAATCAGTACATCTTATACTCAATGGCTTATATACACAGTGCATTATATACCCGGTATAGCATACACTCATTCTAATTCATTTGAGATGTAACACGACATTTGATTGGTTAACCACGATATACTGCCGCAAATTTCAAAATCAAGAAGGGTTATTCTTTCAGTATATTGCATGCTCCATACATTACATACTCATTTTATTATATATTCCGTACAATATATACCCAGTATATTATATACTCAGTACATTATATACTCAGTATATTATATATTCCGTACATTATAAACTCAGTATATTATATATTCCGTACATTATAAATTCAGTATATTATTTATTCCGTACATTATATACCCAGTATAGTATATACTCCGTACATTTATAACCCAGTATATTACATATTCCGTACATTATAAACCCAGTATATTATATGCTCAGTATATTATACACTCAGTATACTACATACTCCGTACATTATATACTCAGTGCATTATATACTCAGTACATTATATACTCATTTTATTATATATTCCGTACATTATATATTCCGTACATTATATACCCAGTATATTATATACTCCTTACATTATATATTCCGTATATTATACATTCCGTACATTATATATTCCGTACATTATATATTCATTTTATTATATATTCCGTATATTATATACTCAGTACATTATATACTCCGTACATTATATATTCCGTATATTATATATTCATTTTATTATATATTCCGTACATTATATACTCCGTACATTATATACTCAGTACATTATATACTCAGTACATTATATACATTTTATATTCCGTACATTATATAATCAGTACATTTTATACTCCGTGTATTATATACTCAGTACATTATATACTCAGTACATTATATACTTAGTACATTATATACTCCTTACATTATATATTCCGTACATTATATACTCAGTACATTATATACTCGATAGCTCCTTACATTATATATTCCGTACATTATATACTCAGTACATTATATACTCCGTGTATTATATACTCAGTACATTATATATTCAGTACATTATATATTCAGTACATTATATACTCAGTACATTATATACTCAGTATGTTATATACTCAGTACATTTTATACTCCGTGTATTATATACTCAGTACATTATATACTCAGTACATTATATACTTAGTACATTATATACTCCTTACATTATATATTCCGTACATTATATACTCAGTACATTATATACTCCGTGTATTATATACTCAGTACATTATATATTCAGTACATTATATACTCAGTACATTATATATTCCGTATATTATATATTCCGTACATTATATATTCATTTTATTATATACTCAGTACGTTATATACTTTGTACATTATATACTCAGTACATTATATATTCCGTATATTATATACTCAGTACATTGTATACTCAGTACATTATATACTCAGTACAATATATATTCCGTATATTATATATTCCGTACATTATATATTCATTTTATTATATACTCAGTGCATTATATACTCAGTACATTATATACTCATTTTATTATATATTCCGTACATTATATATTCATTTTTATTATATATTCCGTACATTACATTTTCCGTACATTACATATTCCGTACATTATATACCCATTATATTATATACTCCGTACATTTTATATTCCGTATATTATACATTCCGTTCATTATATATTCCGTACATTATGTATTCATTTTATTATATATTCCGTATATTATATACTCAGTACATTATATACTCCGTACATTATATATTCCGTATATCATATATTCATTTTATTATATATTCATACATTATATAATCCGTACATTATATACTCAGTACATTATATACTCAGTACATTATATATTCAGTACATTATATATTCCGTATATTATATATTCCATATATTATATACTCAGTACATTATATACTCCTTAGATTATATACTCAGTACATTATATACTCCGTGTATTATATACTCAGTACATTATATACTCCTTTCATTATATATTCCGTACATTATATATTCAGTACATTATATACTCAGTACATTATATACTCCGTGTATTATATATTCCGTATATTATATATTCCATATATTATATACTCAGTACATTATATACTCAGTACATTATATACTCAGTACATTATATACTCAGTACATTATATATTCCGTATATTATATATTCCGTATATTATATACTCAGCACATTATATACTCAGTACATTATATACTCCTTACATTATATATTCCGTACATTATATATTCATTTTATTATATACTCAGTACATTATATACTTAGTACATTATGTACTCAGTACATTGTATATTCCGTATATTATATATTCCGTATATTATATACTCAGTACATTATATACTCAGTACATTATATACTCCTTACATTATATACCCAGTACATGATATACTCAACACATTATCTGTTTTACGATTTACGATTTTCTATTTACTTTTTCTACATGTAGATCAAAATATCAAACACTTGTCACTATATTTTTGTGCAGGAATGTGCTATTTTCATTCCTATTAACTTCATTTCACATACGTGTTACTTTATTTGTTTTTACATATTTGCCAACTATCCAAGCACCAATGCTACTCGTTTGACATCTGGGCGTGTAAGTTTCCCCTAAGTATGAGTGTACGATGGATCTTATGGCCTCATATACTAAAGCTTTGCTACTATATACGGCGAGTGGGCTTCAATTTATGGTATGCACACTTAGATTACACCATCCAGGACCCTAAAAATCTCCTCTATGTTTGCACACAGGCCAACCGCAGTCGTTAACCTTTCAGGTATAAGGAAATAAAAATGGCGCCTAAGCGATCACAAACTCGAATTGTTTATTATCAAACAAATTTTGAATTCACGGAACGTGTAAGTGCACCTATGTTTAGTCTCGAATGCATATCAAACAAGTGTTTTATTTAATCGACTAATGCGGGTACTGACAGACAAAGAAACGATTTGGGGCAATCTAATACATCATTAATTGTTTGTTTTGTTCAAAACACAAGTACATTCTACAACCATGACCAAGCTGTTTGTTAAATATAACCAAGAGGGCGGGTACATTGTGTATATATATATATATATATATATATATATATAGAAAAAATATATATTTACTTCCTTCACATGGACATTTAATCACTTTTTATTATATATATATATATATATATATAGATGAGAAGGCAAATGTATAAAAAGCAATAATTTGTTCATGTGTATCTGGTTAAATCATATGTTATCTTTTTGTTTTGAACCAAAAGGACGGCAGGCATATATGAA